TTAACCGTTTCTTTGTCTGTTTAACGTCAATTACACCTACTGTAGTATTAGGAGATTCAGATCTCGTAGTCTCTGTCCTTTTGCCGGCGAATCAGCACCGTTCCGGAAAATATTGCTGCTCAGATCCAGAAAAATACAGTCTCTCAACAGTGCCTTCGATTTCCCAATAATTCAACTCCATTCAGGTCTCATTCTAGAATTCCAAACTTAGATCTCTGCCTTTTCGTTAGTCTCTTTTGAATTTATGAATTTATATGGATGAATTGGATTAATTCTCTGATCTCTTTTTTTCTGTAGAAAAAGAAAGTAGAATTGGACTCTGACTTTTGATGTTTTGGCTTCTAAGATATGTTGATTTAGGTAGTCAGAATCAGATTGTACATGAAATGAGGTTGATTTGGATTCCATTTCTGTTATTGTTGAAAGCTAGGAAACAAAAATTGACATATCATTTAGCCCATTGTCTTTGGATTTCAACAAGGTCTACTTACAAAGATTTCTTGAAAATTTTTAGTTACTTCAACTTTCAAAAGAAATGGTTGAATTTTGTGTACTTGCAAGTTTTAGAATCATCTGGCTGGCGCATGCTTCCTCTCATTAGTAATCATTTCTTTCTGTATTAGACTGATGCTAAAGTAATATGAAGATACTATCAATATCAATTTCTTTTGGATGAGTGGCATTCTTTAATATTAGTGAGCTTAGCTTATGGAGTCACCTCATTGTGCAATTTAAACTAAGACAGTTTCTTGTATTTCTTGATTGAAGAATTTGTGTGAGGAGCTAGCACTCAGTATGGGAACTGAGGAAATTAAAAGGGATATTGATACCAGCAACTGGCTTTTAGAAGTGGACTATGACAAGTGGGTTGCACTCCCTGTTTCTGGTCCACGACCATCTGCTAGATACAAGGTATTCTTTGCATAATCAAACCATGTTCTTGTGAAGATAATTAACTGTTTACTTATCTGTTTTACCTCATTTCTCCCTTTTTTGGTGTTGGATCACATATTTTAACTCCCTTTGAACACTATAAGGTCAACATCATATTCGTTTTTAAATTTTCATTTAAATGTTTACTTGTTAAGTTGTTATGCCTTACTCACGAGTTGTATGGTTATCATCTTATTTGTCTCGTAACTATAGCATGCTGCAGCAGTGGTTGATGAGAAACTTTATATCACTGGGGGCAGTCGTAATGGTCGATACCTGTCTGATGTTCAGGTCTTGCACGTCCCTCTAGTTCTGCATTTTAAAGTCCTTCCCTTTTTTTTTTCTTTTTTGGTTATCATTTCCTGCATCTATATTCCTGCAGGTTTTTGATCTTAGAAGTTTGACATGGTCTAATCTCAAAATGAAAGTTGAACAAACTCCTGACAAACCAGAAGATAGTGGCTCACAGGAAATTATTACAGCCATTTCAGATCATAGCATGGTAGGTGTTCAGAGGCATCATATACTGACATATTCTACTTTGCCCAAAATTCCTTACTCTTAGTCAGCGACTTAACATAATTTTTAGTGAACATCAAACAAGTTATAATTTATTTCTCTGCCCTTCCTTTTTTTCTTTTTCTTTTTTTCTTTGGCAGATCAAGTGGGGAAGCAAGCTTCTTCTTCTTGGTGGCCATTCAAGGAAAACTACTGATGCTATGATAGGTTTGTATTCACAGCTGCTATTTTTGACCTAGTTAAGAAACTAATAATTCCTACTCCTCATTGTTAATGGCATTTGAATAAGTTAAGTGTTTTGCAATCTTACAACATGTTAATGAACTTTCTGTAGTGCGCTTCATCGATCTAGAGACACATGCCTGTGGTGTCCTGAATACCTCTGGACAAGCTCCGGTAATTTTTTATTTTTTAAATTTTGGTTCTTTCCTTGAATTTTTTGTCATCTATGTCATTAATGGGGATAAAATTAATTGTTTCCATATTCATAGGAGTCTTCACTAATGATAACTTGGTTTGTCTGTCAAATTTTCCAGGTTGCACGGGGGGGTCATTCTGTGACTCTAGTAGGTTCTAAACTGATACTGTTTGGGGGAGAAGACAGGAGCAGGAAATTGCTGAATGATGTTCACATTCTTGATCTGGAGACGATGACTTGGGTTGCAGTAGAGGCAACGTAAGCATCTTCTGTTTCTATACCCAACTAATTTCACAGTTTCAGAAATGTTCTGCATCACTTTCTTATGTTTGATAGGCGGACAGCCCCAGCTCCAAGATTTGATCACACAGCTGCAGTTCATTCAGAGCACTACCTTTTCATTTTTGGTGGTTGTTCTCATTCAATCTTCTTCAATGATCTTCATGTACTGGACTTGCAGACTGTAAGTGTTTATCATTATCTTTGCTGTTTTAAATTTTATCCTACTTCGATTTTTTTTCTTTTCTTTTATTCTTTGGCATGGGTTGAAGTTGAATTTGGTTCCTCGTTGATTTTTTATGTTAAGTGATGCTAATCCTTTCCTTGATGAATAATTTATAGATGTACATTCTTATTCATGCATGTTTGTGGAATTGGATGTAAAGTGAGAAGTAGCATATATACATACATACAAACTTGTCTAAAACACTTGGTAAGGGACCCCAACAGTCCGTTGCAATAGGACATCAACCATCAACCAATAAGACAGTGTACTTAGAACCTGGAGACTGATGCTGCTTATTCGTTACAACTTACAAGTAACTTCTTGTAGATCAAAACCTGACTGCATCTTTAGCACCTTAGTTTCCTCCCCCCCTCTCAAAAAATAAAAAAAAATAAAAATAATAAAAATAATAAATAAATAAAATAAAATAAAATAAAAATTCCCTCCAATTGCATGATTATTCAGTTCCTCCAAAACACGATATAGCAGCTAGAGCAGGCTTTAGCATAATGATAAACCAAAAAATTGTTTGTCCCCTTTTCATGCTTGCTTCTGGTGTGCCTGCGTAAATAGCATGAAAAGATTGGTTGTTTGAATTTGCACCTGGATTACTGTGCAGATGGAGTGGTCCCAGCCACAAGTTCAGGGTGATTTGGTAACTCCTAGAGCTGGTCATGCTGGTATAACAATTGATGAAATGTGGTACATTGTTGGTGGTGGAGATAACAACAATGGTATGTATGACTTAGACTTTCATCTATATGTCATGGTATGTGACATGCTAATGCACTTTTTCCTCCGCAGGTTGCTTGGAAACTGTTGTGTTAAATATGTCTAAATTGGCTCGGTCAAAGTTAACAACTTTACAGGAAAGGCACCCACTTGCTAGCGAGGTAACTACTTGATGCAATCTGATGATAGCCAATACTGTATTTACACACATTTGCTGAATTTATTTTGGTTTTGATTCCTGCTTCCGCATCTCCTCTATTGTAAATGTTTTTGTCTGCATTACCTATCAAAATGAAAGTTTATCTAAAATGTCAGGTTGATGACGGGTGTCTTATTGACATGTTTGTTATTCATGTAACATGATTGACTCCTGTACTCTTTCAGTCCATATAAATTTGTTTGTTATTATTTTTGATGGATTGAATTCTCATGTGGAGATTTTAATTAGAACCATTGCCATGCATGATATCTAATTATACACTAAAATGCAGGGACTGAGCGCTTGCCCAGCACTGATTAATGGGGAGAAGTATTTGGTAGCGTTTGGCGGCTATAATGGGAAGTATAATAATGAGGTATTCTTTTAACAACATATATACATTTCTTGCTAAGGGATAGTACATTTGTCATTTACTTGAAGTGACACTGAATCCATTCCAGCATGCATCATCTTTGTTTTTCCCTGATTTCTTAGTAGTCTTTACCATTTTACTCATTCCATTTGACTTATTCTCTTGTGTGTATTCATTTCCTTTATTTCTAGGTTTTTGTTATGAGACTGAAACCAAGAGACTCATCACGTCCAAAGATTTACCAGTCAGCAGCAGCTGCTGCTGCTGCAGCTTCTGTTACAGCTGCTTATGCCTTGGCAAAATCTGAAAAGTTGGATTTCCCTCAAATAGATTTAGACTTTAAGGGAGTTGAAAACAATCATTCTGAACAAGATGTCATGGTTGAAATTGATGCAATTAAAGAAGAAAAAAAGGTATTGCAATTGTCGATTGAGGAAGTAAGATCAGAAAATTCCAGGCTCCAGGAGAAGATTGATGAAGTGAATAGTACTCATGCTGAATTATCCAAGGTATGCTTTTGAAAGGACCTCTCAGAGTTATTGCTAGTCCTTTGTTCAAAATGATAATTGAAAAATCACCTTATCTTTTCTGCCATTATCTTTTACAGGAACTCCATTCTGTCCAAGGTCAGCTGGTAACTGAGAGATCAAGATGCTTCAAACTTGAGGTTTCCCTGTTTTCATATTGTCTTTTCATTTCGTTCTGGTTTTTAGTTTATTCCTTTGATTAGTATCTGACACATTTTCTTCCAGGCACAAATTGCTGAATTGCAGAAGATGCTGGAATCTTTACAGTCCATAGAAAATGAAGTTCAAATACTTAGGAGACAGAAATCTGCACTGGAACAGGAGATGGAGCTTAATTCAGCAGCCCAGAGGGAGGGTTCTGGTGTCTGGAGATGGATAGCTGGAGGCAACTAGAAGTTGCAGATACCACAGCATGGATTTTGCAATTATTTTTGGCTGAACCAACATAAGTAGTACATGAGCTAAAGAACGTGGATACCTCAGTGGGGCGAATGGTACTTGAAATATTGTGTATCATCTGTCGGTATTCTTAAAAGGTGCTTGTTAGCTTTTGACTGTTGGAGATATGTTTTCAGGAGACAAATTCCAAATTAGGTACAGGAAAATAGTCTATGGGGTGGAATTGTTCTTTTCTAGGTTGCATGGGCAATTTATTTATTTATTTTATTTTAATAAAACCTTTTAATACATATTATTACTTGTTCAGAGGCTCCTGTAACCTGGTAAGATCCATGCTCTTGATTTTTTTTTCTTCTTTTTTTGAATTATATAAATAAATCTCAAAACATTACTGTATATGTGAGGAGTTTATTCTGTTTCAGATACTTGAGCCAGAGGTATTGGAAAGCTTGTGTTCCTTAAATCTGATCTTCATAACCTCAATGGATTATACATCATAACCTCAATGGATTATACATAGATAAAATTTCATTATCCCTTGATTGATATTTATGTTTTTATTCTCAAATCAACATCGATAAACACATTGATTTAGGATATAGCACAAGCTGGGTGGTAGATAAAGATTCAAGTTTGATGCTCAGTGTAATGCCATGGCAAGACCTAGCAGTCCCTCTTTAAACATACTTCACTCAAACTGCGGCTGTCGACTTCTGAAAACGTCTAGACTCCTTTTGAGTTTAATGTTATTTTGTGTCTACACTTGTTTAAATTCTGACCAGGAAAGAAATATGAAAACTGTGGTTCTTTCTAATTCTGCCCATCCAGTTGTTATCTTTTCAAGTTGCACTTATTTGTCAATTTTTTAGTAGAGATCACAGAAGAAGGAAGAGCCCCATCAAATATCATAAATGGATGTACAAGTTTTTGTATTTTGGCTGATGGAATATCTTGCATTCTTCCTTGTACAATTTGTAGTTGGAATCTTCATCAATTTCAGGCAGTTGGAACAGAAAATAGACAAAAGGTTAAAAATAAATAAATAAACAAATAAAAGAAGACATTTAATATTTTAATGTCAATACAATGGCATGGTGACCATGGCTCGAATTGAAAGATTAGCTGAGACAACAGGATTTCTTAGGCAGGCGAAACAATTTCAAAGGTGAAATGCAGATAAGTCAATAATTGCAATCTGAAATTTTGCTAGCAAGTCTTCTTTAGCACATTGGTTGTTGAAAGAATTTCTTTAGCACACTGGTTTTTAAATGCATAGACCAAGTCAAGGACTCAAGGGGACTCTAGAAAGAAAGAAAATCAATACAGCTCAGTTTCTTTCGCCAAACTTGAGAGAGAGGTGAACATAAATTGTTCTGCAGTCTTCACTAATTGATAAACACCATAATCCCACAATTAATATGATAAACTTTTAATCTCACAATAGCCCTACAATTTCCCTGCTTACAAATCTTGAAGCTCATCTTCTTTGTACGCCTACACATTCAATTATTTGATGAGAGACGAATATTGTGATTTTTTACTAAAAAATTATGTGTTTTTTTTTTTTCCTTTTCTTTTTGATATTTACTTTTAGACTATCATCAGATCCACTTTTATATATATTTTAAAAAATAAATTTTGGAAGTAATAATTCTAAAATTTAAATTTTAAATCTAATTTTTAATAAATGTTTTTGTTGTGAATTAAATTGTTAAATTCAATGATTCCCCTCTAACCTTAATATTTGAGTTTGGTTGATCAAAATTTAACTTTTACCTATGATTTAAAAAAAAATGTTTCGTATTCCCCAAAATTTCTCAATGTTTTTTTTTTTAAAAAAAAAAAACCCTGTTGTATTACAAAAATAGTTTTGTGTTAATATTTGCGTTAATATCAAGTACCAACTTCAAAAAAATAAAAATAAAAATAAAAAATAAATAGAAGGATAGAAATGATGAGTGATTTTGTTGATCATATATATTGACAAGTGTCATCTGCACCGCCTTATATCCACATTTGAAACAATCCACTATTCAGCTCGCTCCATACTCACCCAACCAAGGCAAACGCCCACGCTTGGAACCTTTTTAATTCTCCAAAACAAAGAACATATTCTCTCTGATTCTCTGAAATTTGTGTACTTCCTGTACTGCTCAACTCTACTACTATGGCGCTGGTAGAGTTATCACCTTCATGTACCAGAACCTCAACCCGTCTGCAGTCCTCGCAGTTCTCTTTGTCATCCACCCATTTCTCTAACTACTGTCGTCGTGCTTTCCGACCCGTGCCCAGAACTCGAAACGCCAGAATTTCATGCTCTGTTGCATCAGAGTGAGTCTTCACTTGATCTTTGAAAGTTCATATTTATATCCATGATTATGCTTTTAATTGCGCCATTATTTCTGGGTTTTTTTTTTTTTTCATTAAAAAATTTTACTATTTTCGCTTTCTCAGTCAAGCACAAGCGCCGATCGCAGTACAAGCAGGGGAACCCAAGGCTAAAAATGAATGCTTTGGTGTTTTCTGCCTCACTTATGATCTCAGAGCTGTACGCTTTTTTCCTTTTTTCCCCCTTTATTTTTTTTGTTGAAGTTGTGAAGTGATGCTCATTAATTTAATTAATTTATCTGTGGGACTAGTTTTATGCTTTTTTATTTTATTTTATTGCTGTTTCATGAGAAATGATTATATGGTTTTTCGGTATCAATGCATACATGATGTTTGTTGAGAATGATGTCATCTTCATTAGTTCTGTACTGTTCTTAATTAGTAATAAAATTAAGAAGTTTGAGCTAATTATGAGATTATAGCTATACTCCATTGATATTGTGATTATTCAGTTCTGCATCGTCACAAATTATCGATCTTTTTAAATTTTAAATCATGCTGAATAAACTGAGCTGATATTTGTTTTAATGGGTTGGCAGGAAGAGGAGACAAAATCATGGAAGAAATTAATAAATATTGCAGTCTCTGGTGCTGCTGGAATGATTTCCAACCATCTTCTTTTCAAAGTAATTTATGTTCATAAGTTCTATATCCCTTTCCTGTTCACTGCACTTATATCCTATTGATATAGTTGTTCTTTTGTAGCTGGTGACCTGCATTTACAATCCCGAATTTTACAAACACAAGATGTCTACTTTATGCTCAATTGCATTTACATCATTTAAACAACAAAAAGCACATTCAAATTCTCAGTATTTGTTCATATTTTTATCTGGATTTAATAGCTAACTTGCTTTTTCCAGATTGCATCTGGTGAGGTATTTGGTCCAGATCAACCAGTTGCACTGAAGTTATTGGGATCTGAAAGGTCATTCCAGGCTCTTGAAGGTAGTTCTCTTGAATCAATTTCTAGATTAGAATTTTTAAGTTTATCACTTTTAGTTTCCAAGAGGAAGGAAAAGAAGATACAGGTTCAATGAACAGTGTATAATAACTAAGCCACTATAATAGACACACAGATCTAAATCCTTCAGCTGATTTAAAGAATTGAGAATTTGTGGTTCCTTGAACTGATGTTTTTGTGCATGAAGGGGTGGCAATGGAACTCGAAGATTCATTGTTTCCTTTGTTGAGGGAGGTACGTATTGGAATAGATCCCTATGAGGTGTTCCAAGATGCCGAATGGGCTCTGCTGATTGGAGCGAAGCCTCGAGGACCTGGAATGGAACGAGCTGACTTATTAGATATTAATGGGCAGATATTTGCGGAGCAGGTGTTCTTCATATTTGCATCTTCTATCTTCATGACATGCTAAAATCAATCAGGAATATAACCTTGGT